AGCGAACAATATCCGCTTCATAAAAACAAAAAACAGTATGTAGGTGGTTTAGCTGTACGCGTCGCGGTTTGAAAAGCGCGTGTATACTTCCCCGCGATGCACTATGAACACCGATTAGTGGTCGTCCACCTTTTGCCAGTTCAACAAATGAAACGGACGATCGCTATCGCCTTCTAATGGAATAGCAGTCTCAGTAACCGATCGCTCTTCTAATTTGTCAACGGGATTGAAATATATCATTTTTATCCGTTTAAGTTCTATATCTGCGTGCCCCCCCCCCCCCCCCCCCCCCCCAAACACACACTCACGCAAAAAAGTAAAAAATAAAAAATAAAAAACTTCGTTTTTTTATCGCAAAAATGAAGTATGCGTCTCCAGATGTTCACTCTCGCCCAAATGTATACCACTAGTGGTCCGGACAACTGTTGTCTTATCCAAAAGTTAGAAGCGATATCCTGAAACTTGCAATGGGAAAATTGGTTCGTTCTGTTCAATCCCCGCCCCTGCCCGTTTCGATCTGGATGAGCATCGTACCGGCGTGCTGTCGTGTATCACTACTGCGTGGTGCACGTTAAAGACCCCAGGTTAGCGGTTGTACCGCACTGGCCAAATTGCTCATCTACAGCTGAGACACCAGACGCCCACTGAGGCAGAACTAAGTTCCGGCTGTATAAACATGCAGACAACAATTTTTTTTTGGTTCGTTCTCGATACAATTCGCCCCCCATTCAGCCCCATGTATTCCTAGGTTTTGTCGGTCACAATTTGAAACCTTTAAGAATTCCGAAATTCACTTTTAACTCTTTAATACAAGTCGTTCTCAAAATCCGGCATCTGGTCAGACCGCTAGCGCAACATTTGTGCGGAAAGTGAGAGTTCGGCTATGCCTATAAAAAAATGTGCTTTTTTTTTTCTTTTTTTTTTTTTTGGGGGGGGGGGGGGGAGATTTTGAATGTTATTTTATATTCTTGTTAAGCTTATCGTGACGTATAGTCTAAACGTACACCATCGAGACTTGAAGTCGCAGAAGAAAAAAAACCTTTACTGGCAGTCACGCCTCGTGTCTTCAGACTTAGTTAGCAACCATCCCTAGTTCTGTAAATAAGAAAACTAAACGATATTGCGGCAACAGTTGTTTACGGCAAAGACAAACTACGCGTTTCGTCCTTTGGAGGAAAAGTGCACCGAAAGAGAAGGCCTGCTATCTTTCGCTTGACGCCATTCGACGGTCTCAGAGCAATGTCAGCAATGCCATGAAATCCGTTGGAGGACTCTGGCATGATTAGAACACGACGCAGAGCAATGTTATTTTTCTTGTTTTCTTTGTACGCTAACTATCAGACCAAACAGACCGGTATATAAAGACTGCAGCGTTTCTGCTGTTGCCACTGACCAACTTAAGAAATGCAGCTGGGCGTGTCAACTCCTGAGGATCTTAATCTCGCTTGCTCATGACGTCGGTTTTTTTTTTTTTTTTTTTTGTCACTTTATTGATTTTTTTTATCACATTTACTGTGCTATACCAAGGGCAGTCAGTGCTGCTAAGAACGCACGGTTGAATTCGAAAGTATACAGATGCGCACATGTGCAACGCTTCAGGGTTTAATTTTCACCCTTTTGCTACCTAACGGTTAATAAAAGGTTACGAACATAAAGTGTGGTTTCTGTTTAGGAAACACGGAACAAACATCTGTTGGCTTTCTAAAAAAAAGTGATGCCAAAAATTGTTTTTGTTGCTACTCTGATTCCCGACGAAATACGTAAACATTTAGCGCAGGGGTTTTGACACTGCGAAGGATGGGAATTCAACCTCGCAACAGTCCACATACTGCTGTGTTCGGACGGAGAGCCAACTGTTCTCCCTGCGTCGGCGGTTTCGGATGCAACCACCACAGCCCCCATCGATCGCCGCCCACGGTCCGCATACCGTAGGCGGCGATCGGTCTTCGAAGCGCCAATCTTTCCTCCGGGTTGACGGCGGTTTCGCGCAAACGGTGTCGTCGCTGCGCCTCGGTTTTACGTTGTCGCGCACGTTGTGCTACGGCCACCTCGATCCCTTCCTCTCCCGCTCCCGCGGCGCATCCTTGGAAGCGTTCCG